ATATTAATAGTAATTCATATTTATTTAGTTGTACTATTTTCTTAGCCCCTAAGTTTGTTAGAGGGTATTTTAGTATTTTATCTTATTCTAGTAACCCTAGTTTTAGCTTATAAATAGGGTGACAATCATTGTAACTTTTATCATGTTTTTGTAGCCGTTATTCTTAATATAATATTTCTCCTTTTCATCATTTATTTTACCTTTGCACCAACAATTGGTATCTAGAGCTCCGGTTCAGATTCATTGGGAAACACGGGAAACACGAGTGAACGTGAGGTCTTGTGTGTTTGATTTTGATTCTTAGACTCATGTTGAATCTTGAACAAAATCTGATCAGAATTTAATTCTGTGGGTTGGGAAACACTGTGTGAGAAATCTGAGTGTATTGTGCAAGGTAGAAGATGAACGGAAACGACAACATGAACACCAAACTTCCAGTATTTGATGGTAAAAACTGGAATCGTTGGATGATCCAAATGCGTGTACTATTTGGTGCTCAAGATGTTCTAGATCTTGTCACTGATGGTTATGTTCCAGTAGCAGCAAATGCAACAGATGAACAGAAAAACGCGCAGAAGGAAGTAAGGAAGAAGGATCAGAAAGCATTGTTCTTCATTCATCAATGTGTGGATGTAAATGTGTTTAAGAAGATTGCAGATTCAACAACAGCAAAGGCTGCGTGGGACACACTGGTGAGATGTTATGGTGGTGACGCATCAGTGAAGAAGGTGAAGCTTCAGTCCTTGAGAAAGCAATATGAGAATCTCAACATGAAGAATAATGAGAAAGTCTCTGAATACATCTCCAGAATGATTCTGATCACTAATGAGATGAAGGCGTGTGGAGAAACTCTTTCAGAAGAAACAATCATGGAGAAAGTATTGAGATCCCTTACTCCTCAATTTGATTACATTGTGGTAGCAATAGAACATTCCAAAGATCTGAGCACCATGAGAATTGAAGAGCTGCAGAGCAGTCTAGAAGCGCAAGAGTTGCGTTTGACTGAGAGAACTTCTGAAAAGGAAGTAGAGCAACAGACTCTGAAAGCAACTTCTGATAGGAGGTATCAAAAGCAGTCTGAAGCCAGGAGAAGATCTGATGGTGGTCAGAAGTCAAAAAGCTCAACCTCTGATAGACAAAAGAATGCTCAGAAGAGAAAAGAAAAGTATGACAAGAAGAAGATCCAATGTTACTGTTGTAAGAAGTTTGGTCACTTTGCTAGAGATTGTTGGTCAAACAAGGAGAGAAAATCAGAAGAAGCAAATATAGCCAGAAGTTCTGATGACGAATCTGTGCTATTGATGGCTTCTGAATCTGATAATATGGATCTGACAGACTGGTGGTATATGGACACTGGCTGTTCAAATCATCTTACTGGAAACAAGAAATGGCTGGTTGACTTTGACTCTGAAAAGAGAACAAAGATCAGATGTGTTGATGACAAATATCTTAATGCAGAAGGTATGGGAAATGTCAGAGTGATTCTGAACAATGGGAAAACAGCATTGATTCAGAACGTGTGGTATGTACCTGGCATCAGAAGCAATCTGATGAGTGTGGGACAATTAATTGAGAAAGGTTTTTCAGTTACCATGAAGGACAATCTTCTGAAGTTGTATGACTGCAATCAAAAGTTGATTATGGAGTCAGAACAGGGAAGGAATAGAACATTCAAGGTGAACGTCAGAACTGCAGACTCAGAATGTCTTAGTGCAACAAGTGCTGAGAAGGAGAGTGAGCTGTGGCACAGAAGATTTGGTCATTTGAATTTCAGAAGCTTAAAACATCTGAATTCAAAGAAGTTGGTACATGGAATTCCTGCAATTAAGAAGCCTGAAAAGTCATGCAAAGTTTGCATGGAAGGAAAACAACCAAGACTGCCATTTGCGTCAGAAGCTGCTCCAAGAGCAAAACATGCCTTGAGAGTTGTACATTTTGATGTGTGTGGTCCATTTTCAGTAGCATCAATTGGAGGGAATACATAATTTGTGTTGTTTGTTGATGAATTCACAAGAATGACATGGGTATCCCTTATTAAATTTAAACATGAGGTGTTTGATGAATTCAAGAAGTTCAGAATGAAGGCTGAGAATCAGAGTGGTCAGAAGTTGAAGATTCTTAGAACTGATGGTGGAGGTGAGTATAACTCCAAAGAGTTCCAGAAGTTCTGTGAGGAGAATGGAATTGAGCATGAGGTTACTGCTCCTTATACCCCTCAACACAATGGTCTTGCTGAAAGAAGAAACCGTACTTTGCTTGATATGGTGAGAAGCATGTTAAAGGAGAAGAAGCTTCCTCAGAAGCTCTGGGGAGAAGCTGTTGCCACTGCAACGTATGTACTCAACAGGTGTCCTACGAAGAAGTTGAAGGAAATAGTTCCAATACAGAAGTGGACTGGAGATAAGTAAAGTGTTAGTCATCTGAAGGTGTTTGGTTCTGTTTGCTATAAACATGTTCCAGAAGCCAGAAGACAGAAGCTGAATGATAGAAGCAAAGTGATGATTCTGATAGGGTACCACAGTACAGGTGCATACAAGCTCTATTGTCCAGAAACCAATAAAATTGAATTCAGCAGAGATGTGATTGTGAAGGAATCTGAAGTTTGGAATTGGGATAAGTCTCAATCTGACTCTGATGTTAAAACTTCTAAAGAAAGGTCAGAGTTAAGAATTTCTGAAGTTGGAGTAAATTCTGACGTTGATTCTGACTCTGATAGTGATTCTGACTCTGGAGAAGACTCAGAAGATGAAGGTGACTCTGATGATCTAGACTCTGATGGCAATTCAGACTCTGAAGATGGCCAAGGCTCTGGAGGAAGTCAAACCTCTGAAGCTAGAAATTCTGAAGTTCAAGACTCTGGAAATATGCCAGATCCTGAAGTTGGTCAAAGCTCTGGAGAAAGTCAATCATCTGAAGCCTAAGACTCTGAACAAGTTCAGAGACCACAAAGAATCAGAAACGTCCCCAGAAGATATGCAGAATTTGACATGCTGCAAGACACTGAAGTAGACTCTGAAGGAGAAGTTATTCAGTGTGCCATGATGGTAGACTTTGAACCCATAAGTACAGAAGAGGCTCTTAAGCAGAAGCTCTGGCTGAAGGCCATGAAAGAAGAACTTGATGCTATAGAGAGAAACAAGACTTGGAAGCTGACAGAACTTACAAAAGACAAGAAAGCCATCAACGTTAGATGGGTTTTCAAGCAGAAGTTAAAGTCAGATGTTTCAATTGGCAAACATAAAGCAAGGTTGGTAGCCAGAGGATTTCTACAGAAACCTGGGCTGGATTATTCTGAAGTGTTTGCACCTGTAGCAAGACATGAAACAATCAGAATGGTGATTGCAATAGTCGCTAACAGGAATTGGCCTCTGATGCATTTAGATGTAAAATCTGCATTTCTAAATGGTCCATTAGAAGAAGAAGTTTACGTGTCACAACCTCCTGGATTTGTGAAAAAGAATCAGGAAGGGATGGTGTACAGATTATACAAAGCTCTATATGGATTGAAACAAGCGCCCAGAGCTTGGAATCAGAAGATTGATTCATTTTTCAAGAATCAAGGCTTTCAGAAATGTGAGATGGAGTACAGTGTCTATGTTCAGCATACTTCTGAAGGCAATATGACTCTGGTATGTTTATATGTTGATGATATACTATTGACTGGAAGTTCTGAACAGGAGATAGCCAAGTTCAAGAAAGTTCTGATGAATGAATTTGAAATGACTGATCTAGGCAAAATGACATACTTTCTAGGGATGGAGTTCAGATATTCTGAGAAAGGTATCATTTTGCATCAGCTCAAGTATGAATTAGAACTTCTGAAGAGATTTGAACTGAAGAATTGTAAGATTGCTGTCACACCTTCAGATACAAATCAGAAACTGGATTCTGACTCTGATGGAAAGGATGTGGACGCTACAACCTTCAAACAGTTGGTTGGTTCTCTGAGGTATTTGTGCAATACCAGACCTAATATTTGCTACTCTGTTGGGATGGTTAGTAGGTTCATGAGTAAACCTAAGTGGTCCCATTACCAAGCTGCTGTCAGGATTCTGAGGTATATCAAGGGAACCTGAAGTATGGAGTGTTGTTTCCTTCTGGAAGAAAGGATGAGTCAGAACTTCTAAGTTATTCAGATTCTGATTGGTGTGGAGACAGAGTTGACAGAAGAAGTACATCTGGGTACTTGTTCAAATTTCTGGGAGGTCCCATTTCTTGGTGTTCCAAGAAGCAACCTGTTGTGGCGTTATCAACATGTGAAGCTGAATACATTGCAGGTGCTGTTATTGCATGCCAAGCTGTGTGGATTCTGAATCTGTTGCAGGATCTGAAGATTAAAATAAACAAACATCTGAAGCTAATGATTGACAACAAGTCTGCAATCAATCTTGCCAGAAACCCAGTGCTGCATGGGAGAAGCAAGCATATTGAGACCAAATATCATTTTCTGAGACATCAAGTTCAGAGTGGAGTGTTAGAAGTTGTACACTGCAACACTCAGAAACAGTTGGCAGATGCTCTGACGAAAGCTGTCAAGACTGATCAATTTCTCAGACTAAGGGATGAAATTGATGTTACAAGTTTTGATGGAATATGAATTAAGGGATGGTATTAGAATATTAATAGTAATTCATATTTATTTAGTTGTACTATTTTCTTAACCCCTAAGTTTGTTAGAGGGTATTTTAGTATTTTATCTTATTCTAGTAACCCTAGTTTTAGCTTATAAATAGGGTGACAATCATTGTAACTTTTATCATGTTTTTGTAGCCGTTATTCTTAATAGAATATTTCTCATTTTCATCATTTATTCTACCTTTGCACCAACATATAAAACTCATAACACCACCAAAGTTTCTATAAAAAATTCAAATAAACCACACTATATAAATATGTATACCCTTGGTCACATTTCTCTCTTTCTTTCTTACTTCCATTAGTGTTTATGCGCGTGAAACCTTCACCATCATCATACAGAAGTGTCACATGACGAGCCAAATTTATGCGACAGAACCAAAATACTGTTGCAAGAATTGATAAAGCTCTTCCGCAACTACAGCAGGGTACTCCTCCTGTGGAAGAAGAGCACCAGGCACTTCCACAAACTTGGTCACCCCTTTAGCTCCCTTAAGAGCTTCCATCTCAGCTTTAGACCTTTTAGGAGACCCTTTCGATGATACAACAAACACTGGTACCTTTCCTTCCAAATCTGCAAAGAGTTGAAGGAACTCCTCACGAGATGTTACAGGATCTAGTAGTCCTGTCAAGAAAGCTGCGGGTAAGTAACGTGCTCCTTTCCGTTTTGTCAGTGCGTATCTGCTTTCAACAATTGCTGGCGTGACATTATCAGGGTTGGCGTATACGTGGGATTTGTACTGTGATTGGATCGCATTCTCATTGCTCACAAGCATGTTATACATCATCCATCCAACTGCAGGGGCCTTTAAGGTGCCTCTTAGAAGACCATATCTGTTGAGTTTAAAGAAAAGGGAGAACAAATAGAAACAAGTTAACAACACCAAGCATTTTATCTCAATCAGAGAGGAAAAAGACTTGACTGCCGAAAAGGGAAGCACTATAGTACCTTGTTTCCATACTGGAATCTCGACCAAACACGATAGGAAGTGGACCAGACCAAGTTGGTGCAACAGCAGCTATAGCTTTGGGCTTCACAAGACCCTTTTTGGCAGCACGGATTACTATTGAAGCAGCATGCCCTCCTCCAAAAATCACCAAATCATTGTCTAGTTTAACACCAACAACATTAGTCACAAACACGTTAATCCAAAGTCACGACTCGTGATATCTTAAACAATAATCAGATTTTCAGTACATAAACTTAACTAAAAAACACAGACAAACATATATACCAATTGAAACTACTCAAAACAAGTTTTCATTCTATGTCAGCGTTCTTAAAAAAACCATGAATAATAATTGCAAATTTCAACCTAACTATGGTGATGTAAAACGATGTCGCAAAAATATAACTCAGCACAATGAAGTTATTGCAAAATATAACATCCGCCACTACTGCCATCACAGTACCTGATTGTTTTACCGGACCATCTGGTGAATTAACAAAATCAACCAGAAATTTTTCCAAAATATCAGCATTGTAATCAATCTTCGGACGATCAGAATAACCTAGACCAGGCCAATCAACAATAGTTGCGCGATAATTGACACTGCCATTCCGCTGAGCAATGTCTTGAGCAACTAATCTCCATTCCTCAACCGTGCTAACATCAGAAATAGTTGGCATCATCAGGATATTTTGTGAAGGCTCCTGACTCTCCTTCACATGTTCCTCATAATAAACATTTACTAAATTGTCCTTGAATTTCCACTGCCAGTTGCTAGTCTGGTAAAATATAAAACAAGCAAGATTCAACAAATTTTGACACAACCTCAGAAATTTGCATACACCTCTGAATTATGAATCATAAAATGAAAAACAATTGCAATTAAAAATAAAGTAAAATGGCAATAATTTTGACAGAATTTAATGAAACAAAAGCAATTATCATAAAATAATTAAATTCTAACCTTCAATGGGGAAGATTTGTCGACATTGGAATAGTTTAGGGTAGCTGAAGCTCGGATCTTTAGGGGTTTAAGAAGATACACAGAGTGGGAGAGAAAGGGTTTACGAATTTTGGAGTAAAGGTTAGAACTTGAAGGTGAAGGAGTGATAAATGTTGCAGAGAGAGCCATTAGAGGATTTAGAGGGTGAAGAATGAAAAATTGAAGTGTAATAAAACAAGGATTAAGGTTAATAAAAAGACACGGAATAGAATTATAGGAGAAAATAGTGACCGTGGACTCGATTAGATTTTTGTGGGTCCAAAACAACACCGATTTTCCTACACGATTTTGGTTTTCATTATATTTTGGGTAATGTTAACTTGTGCCCTTGGGGCACAGGTTAAGAACTAAATTAAGAAATATCATCTTGGAAATTGTGTACAAACTTAAATTAAAGTATAAAATTAATTTTTAAATTGTTTTTTTCAATACAAATTTACTAAAAGTGGTTTCCTTAACATGTGCCCAAAGGGCACAAGTTAACATTACCCTTATATTTTTGTGACTCTTCCCTTCATTTATTATATTGGAGTACTAAATTTTACTTTACATTTAAATCTCTTTTTCTCTAATATAGTACTAGTGTTTCTCTTTCTTGTTTGCTTCATCTATCCTTTCTTGATATTTTAATTAGGGGATGTTTCGTGAGAAGATTCAATTAGTTTTGAGAGGAAAAAAATCTTATTCAAATTTTTTTTTAATATGTGATTATTTTGTAATTCTTTTTTGGTTTAGTTTTATAATATTTTGTAAATATTTTTTATTTTGTGTTTAATCATTATCTTTTTGTTTTAGTCATTGCAAAATTAGTTTATATTAAAATTGATTTATGTAACATATAAAGTATTTTATTTTTATCACAAAAGAATAAGGATAAAAAAGAAAATAAAAGATATTTCTAATGAACAAAATTAAACAAAAAATACATGGAACAGAATAATATTACATAGATTTTTAGATATCTAAATTACAATGATAAAAAATTATGTTTAAATTTGATATTATAAAAATAGAGTAAAATAATAGTTTTATGTAATATTACTTCCGTCCCAAATTATAAGTGATTTTATAAAAAAAAAAATTGTCTCAAATTATAAGTCACTTTAGAATTTAGAATTTCAGTATAACATTAAGGATTTTTTCTAACATATCCTCTATTATTTATTATTCTTTTTTCTTTCTATTATTTTAATTTTATTTTTAAATGCAATTAAAACAAGTTATTTTATAAAATTATAGATTATTTTACTTTTTTATATAACAATTATTATATTTTTTAATTTGTATAAAATATTTAAAATATTTTATAATTTAGGACGGTGTGAGTATAATTGTTATTCGAGAAATTCAAAGATTTGAGAGGCATTCTTAAGAGATATTAAAGGAGATGCTGAGAAAAGCAGTGTAAGGCAACTTTGAAGCCAAAAAGAATACAGTCATAAAGGATAGTGTTCTAGAAGTGCATAATAGTTAATTAAAGATCAAATGTGTATTGTCTTAGAAACTTGTAGAAAATTTTTTTAAAGAAGTTAAGATGGTTTTGCCTAAGCTTAGACATGTGTTATTCATGCAGCCAACATTGTGTAGTTTACATAAAGGGATCATGTCCCATGGAAGGGAGTTCATTTTTCAAAGACTTTCGCCATAAATAAATATGTCAATGTTTTCTCTATCAAAATCCAGTGCATTGGAAGTCATCTGTATATGTGTGAACACATTCTTATTTATTTTAATCCAATTTATATTTTTTAACATTAATTTTTATGTGTTGTTAGTCATCTAGCAGGTATATTATTCATGTTATTTACATTTTATTATTAGGACTAACCTCAAACTTTATTTCAAAAAAAAAAACCTCTATATTCAAAGAGTTCATTTAAAATATAAGATTTAAATGTTGATCCTATTAAATTGAAACCCTTTAGGATTTGACATGAGTAAGAGATTGATCTTTGAGTTCATTTATTCAACAAACGAACACGCCTAATAGCACAGTGGGACTAGATTAGATATTGTTCATTTTGAATCTTAGTGTTTATTTGTGATTGCTTAAGAATAAGATAATTACCATTTCTCGAAGAATAAACAACAATTTTCCTTACCAAAAGAACACCTAAAACAATTATTCATATGAAAATGATCAAGAAGATAACATGCCTCATAATACATATCAGATACGCCAAATTGGATTACCTTCGAATCCAATGATCATTCAAATTAATAATTATGGTATTCAGACAAATAATTCTACACTACGAAGAATAAACATAGCCATGACATCTTATGATCATCCTTCTTGGTTTATGCCACCCATACATGACTTTCAAGCAATGCCTCATATGAATAATAGTATTCCTGGTGTTAGCTCAAAAATTCGACGCTCATATTAAAATTAAATATTTTGATAAAATATTAAACTCTTGAAGAAGTGTGAAAGACTTCGAGTGGGGGAGGCCTTCGAGTAGGCTGGTTTATTCAAGCGTTTTGGGACTTAGAGAATATTTCCGAAGATGAAGGATACCACCTTCGACCGAGGCTGATGGCTAGTCATTAGTGGAATTTTGAAATTCAAATAAAGGAGGGAGTAATTATGCTTTCTCATGACTAAGCAAGACAAGTGGCGCTCATCTAGCAAGTGACTACATGCAATATGACACTTGTCATAGGCTGGTTGTTTTAGGAGGTTGATGACAGTTAATTTTACTATTATAAATAAGGGTTCTAGACATAGAATTTAGTGTGTTGTAATTTACTATTGTACAAGTTACTCCTAAAATTACTCAAAGTATCCGAGTGTAGAGAAACGAGTTCTAGGAGAATGTACGTCATGTAAACACATCATTTTTACTTTCAATGGAACTTATTTTCTTTGTTTTATCTTAAAGAGTTTATCTTTACTTCTTTGCAATTTCCATCTTCCCTGCATTTTGCTTCGTTTAGTTTAAATGTTTTAAAGGTTCTTTACTTTATTTCCTACAAATTCACGTCCTTTTATTTCAGTCGAACCTTACATTTACATTAAACCTTTCCCTCAAAACATTGTCGAAGTGTGTAGTTTAGACAAATTCTTTCACATAAAATTTAGCACATGTCCTAGGATCAATCTGATCGATCCCGTGAGTCACCAAAGTTAGATTGATCAGCGATTGTTTTCCAATTTTTACGGAAAACACCTGGTCAATATCGAGCTAGATATTTGGATATTCTAATCAACCAAGTTAGAACCAACAATGTTAATTTCTTTTATGGGCATATGTAGAATCAAGTTCGTCCTTTAACTAATACCACATTACAATCGTCCATACAAAAAATGAATTAATGTTTATAGTCATTAGTGACATACACCCATGTATAAAAGATAATATTTTGAACATGTCATATAATCTGAATAAACTTACTTCCATAACATCAAACATTGGACAATTCATCAAGGAAATGGAGAAGAAATGTGATAGCAAAGGGAGAAGTTGACACTTGGTCTCCATCATCGATATGAAGGAATTTGATGACGATATAATAGTCGATCCCATCTCATATATATTAGCATTGAAATCTTGAAAGGTAAGGGTTAATTGTGTCTTGCCTTGGAACCTACCAAAGAGAATGATACTAATTTGTTAGAGGATAAAATAGACTTAGCCTTTGATATTACAAAAGTAGGTCATATAATCTATCATCTTCTTAGAGATATGCATATTTGGCTATTGTATGGTGACAATATTGCTTCAACAAAGGAAATCAAAGACAATAGATATTGCAAGTATCACAACCCCTATAACCATGCAACGATTAACTATATTATTTTTCGAAGAGCTATTCAGAAGGCGGTCAAGGAAGGCATGTTTAAGTTGGCTAATAAGAGCATGATATAGAAGGTTGTTGATACCAATCATTTCCCAGCGATAAATGTAGCTAATGTCTATTTTTTCAAATCTAGTGGCTCTAAAAGCTTGCTTGAGTCCATAAAGAGCTTTATTAAATTTGCACACAAGCTCAGACCCTGATTTTTCAAATCCAAATGGTTGGACCATGTGCACCTCCTCACTTAGAAAACCATTAAGGAATGCATTATTGAAATCCAATTATTGGGTGGCCCAATCCTGAGATATAGCCAAAGTATGCACAATCCTAAGAGTGATAGGTTTGACTTAAGGAAGAAGTATTCATTCATTAAAATGAAATAACTGATGTGGAAGGATGTTGCTGCTAGTTATGTAAATGCATGGGAAAAGGCCATGATTAAAACAAAGGAAGTAAATAAGGAAGCATTCAAGAACTTGATGAAGATTCCACCAAGGTTTTGGCGTAAATCTAAGTTTAGTACCACTCCAAAGTGTGATACTATGGTAAAGAATATGTCAGATTCAACTCAATTTTTGTTACATCTAAGGCCAAGCCAGTTGTCACAATTATTGAAGAAATCATAATTTATCTTATGTTGACGTGGGAGTCAAATAGGCAGAAGTTTAACAAATATAAAGGATAAATTCTACCAAATATCAAGAGAAAGATAACAAAGGAATTACAAAAAACCAGAAATCACAAAAAACCAACAATTGGATAGTGAAGTAATGAATGTTGAGTTTTGTTGTGTTTTACATTTGCGTATGAAACGAAATTTTTGTTGTATCTTACATTTGTTATGAATTTTTCTTACATATTAATGCAATCAACTTTGTTTACTTCAATATTAGTCTCATGATAAATATCAGCCTTGTATCAAATTTGATTTAATAAATGACCTACCATAATACAGGGAGAATTTATTTACAGCTTGGTTAGGCTATTAAACTTGACATGTGTGATAAATAACATAATTGATCACTTTATTTTCGTTAATGTTTCAATTTAGTCTCTTATCTATCAAACTGGACATTTTGAGTCCCTAAACAAATATTTTCTGTTTCAAAATGATTTATATACTGCAATTTAACTCAACACAAAACATAACACAAATTATGTTATGATTGTATTACCAAAAGTTTCACCAACTATAGCAGAGTAAAACATTAACACAGATTGCATGAATTTTAACTAAATTTCATTAAACAAGATTGTCCATAACAATAGAACAAACACATGTATCACATGGATTTTATCCAACACAACCAATCAATTAACTTTATTTG